CTGTCCTGAGCCGGGAGGAGCGATCTGGACTCGGGTTCGGTCCCAGACACCCCCAGATCAGTGGGTAGGGAAGCCACACGGGGAGAGGGAACCAGAGTCACTCGGAGAGGGTCTCAGGGCAGCGAGCCCGCTTCCCACGCGGCCCACCCCAGCAGGACCGCGGCGTAAGACGGGGCCGCTTCCGGGTCTCGGAGGGAACCTGGGTTCCTTGGCCGCTGACCTGGGCGGGCAGCGTGGGCTCCGGTGCAGTCCGGGGACCCCAGCTAAGGACCCCCACTATTTGGGTGCTCCTGGCTCTCCGCCCTCTCCAGTCCCGGCTCTTTCCGGAACTCAGGCCTTCCCTCTTCCTGCTGTAGCTCTCCACCCCCTTGTCTTAAGACACCCTTGAACCCCACTCAGTTCTCCTAGCCCATTTACACGCCCCCCCCCAACAGTTCTCCTGAGTACTGGTGATTTATTTATTTAACCTGCTAAAGTGGGACTGTTGCACACACCAGAGATTCCGACCCTGGTCAGATTCACGGAGGAGAGTGGCTTGCTGGGAATTCAGTTCAGGAGGTGGAATCAGGAGCACCTGGGAAGAACCTAGAAACTAGAGCCCATGGAGCCATGAGGGCTCTGCTTACTGTTTATTCCATCGACACTTCTAGGAGGGCCATTCGAGGCCAGCAAGGGACGAAAGGATTGTCACCTGGTGTCCAGGAAGGACTGCCTTAAAAGTACCTTAAAAGAAAGAAAAGTTAGGCAGGGCATGGTGTTCAGGCCTTTAATCCCAGCACCCTGGAGGCAGAGGCAGGTGGATCTGTGAGTTAGAGGCCTGCCTGGCCTGTGTAAGGAGTTCCAAGCCAGCTGGGGCTGTATAGTGAGACCCTGTCTTGAACAAAACAACACACAGAAGGAAGTTAAGAGAAAACTAGAGAGTCAGGCATGATAGTACACACCTGTCATCCTGGCACTCAGGAGATACACACAGGAGGATCTAGAGTTCAAGGTCAGTCTTGACAACAGAGGAAGTTGGAGGCTAGCCTGCACTACATAAGACCCTGTCTCAACATTAAAAAAGACTGGGGTGTAGTGGCCCACACCTTTAATCCCAGCACTTGGAAGACAAGCAGGCAGATCTCTTCACAGAGGCCAGCCTGGTCTACATAGTGAGTTCCAGGGCAGCTGAGTACAGGAGATCCTGTCTCAAACAAACAGTAATAATAATAAATATATAAAGGTTTAAAAAAATGGAAAGCAGGAAAAGGAGAACCACAGAACCCTAAACTCTGGATGACAGGAGAGAGAGGAGCCAGATCTGAGTACCTGGCTACCACATCTGCTTTAGATATATGTACATGTGTGGAGACATACACTGCCCGGCACATGCATCAGAAAGCAGTGTGATGGGAAGGTCATTGAGGCCTTAGGGCAGAATGGGGTGGAGAACTGAGGTCACAGACCTAATACCAATATCAACACAGTGTTTGGTAGACCCATAGTAGAGAGCTGGAGTCTCTTTGGCAACAGCTATACTATGTATGTCACTGGTCCAGGCATTTTATTTCCTTTGGGAAACAGGATTAGGAAGCAAGAGGTACGACCTAGCATGTTCTAGATAGCGTCTACTGTGTACTAGGCACTCCTGTAGGTGAACTCAATCCCTTTAAGAATTCTGCAAGGAAGGTAGCTTTAATATTTCCATTTTACAGGTAAGGAAATTGAGGCCCAAAGACAATTTTTTAAATATTTTATTTTTTTGAGACAAGTCTCCCTATGTAGCTCTGGCTGGCCTGGAACTCTGTATAGAACAGTCTGGCCTTGATATCACAGAGATCCTCCTGCTTCTGCCTCCCAAGTGCTGGGATTAAAGACACGAGCCACTATGCCCAGTTGACAAATTAATTAAGAAAAAAATTTTTAGCAGGGTCAGTAACATGGCTCAGTTCATAAAGGTACTTGCCACCAAGCTTGATGATCTAAGTTTGATCACATGGTAGAAGGAAAGAACTGATTTCCAAAAGTTGTCCTGTGTCCTCTACATACATACATACATACATACATACATACATACATACATACATACATACATACATACATACATACATACATACATACATACATACATACATACATACATACATACATACATACATACATACATACATACATACATACATACATACATACATACATACATAGAGAGAGAGAGAGAATAAATGAATAAATGTAATTTTTAAATTTATTTATGGGGGCATGTGTAGAGGTCAGTCCTGTGGGAGTCAGTTCTCTCCTTCCACCATGTAGGACCCAGGGATCAAACTAAGGTCATCAGCCTTGGCAGCAAAGCACCTCAGGCTGCTCAGCCATCTCTTGGGCCCAACAGAAATTAGTTTGACCAAGGTTATACTCACAGTACGACCATAGAAGCTTCAGTTTCTCCCACCTGTGTGGGTAGGGATACCCAGTGTGTTGGCTGCCAGGGAGGGATAGGAGTTTGAAGGAGACAGAAGAGTGGGCCTGAGTGTTTGTCAAGAAAAGAGATTTGATAGGGAATCTTTGGCTCTCCCTCAGCTCTGTTCCTTTTTCCCTTCCAGATGCGATTCATGCTACTGTTCAGCCGGCAGGGAAAACTTCGGCTGCAAAAATGGTACCTGGCCACCTCAGACAAGGAGCGGAAGAAGATGGTTCGAGAGCTTATGCAGGTTGTTCTAGCTCGCAAGCCCAAGATGTGCAGCTTCCTGGAGTGGAGAGACCTCAAAGTTGTCTATAAGAGGTGACGCTGCACTGAACTGGAGTTTACCCTGGGTTAAAACCACCAAGAAATAAGTCTCTCTCAGGTCAGGGAGGCAAGGCAGCTGGAGGACAGTCCTGGTTGTCCTCTTTAGTCTGCAACTTCATCTTGAAGAAATTTCTATTCCATCTAAGGATATAGCTCCAGTGGTAGACTGCTTGCCTAGCATGCATCAGACACTTCATTCCATCCCCAACATTGCATAAGCCAGGCATGGTGGCTTGGGCCCATAATCCCTGCACTCGGGAGGGGAGGTAGAGGCAGGAGGGTCAGAAGGTCAAGGTCATCTTTGGCTACTTAGTGCATCTGAGGCCAGCCTGGTCTTAGCCACTCCAATAAGAAAATAAAAATTAAAGAATGGGCTAAAGATACAGGTCAGTGTTTAAGAGCACTTGCTGCTCTTCTAGAGAACCTGAGTTCAGTTCCCAGCACACACCTCGGGCAGCTCATAACCACCTGTAACACCAGCTCCAGGGGATCCTATACCCCTATTTGGCCTCCTTGGGCACCTGCACACATGTGCTGTACATAAATTCACATAGACACACACACATACACACACATAAATAAATATTTCTTTAAAGAAAATAACTCTTGAAATATATATATTAATTTTATGGGGGCTGGCATGATGGCTCAGCAGTTAAGATCACTGGCTGCTCTTGCAGAGGCCTGGGGTTCAGTTCCCAACTCCCACATGGAGCCTAACAACCATCCATAACTCTAGTTCCAGGTGATCCGATAGCCTCTTCTATTCTCTACAGGGATTGCACACACATGGTGTACATATATACATGCAGGCAAAATACTCATACACATAAAATTAAATAAATTTTAAAAATATATATTGCTCTTAAAAAATAGAGGTATTTTTCCATGCCTGGTTTGCCCAACAATTCCATGCAAATACTTCTGTCCCTGAAGACTATCTTACCTGCAACAGTCCCTTGTAGTCTCATTTCACCATTCTGATGCCTTGCTCCACTTTCCCCAACACACGCCCACATCCCCATACACACCTGCTCTGAGCAACTAATCTTGGCTGAGATTCTTGCTGAGTCAAATGGAACAGGACAGACAGCAAGAAGGAGAGGGCATCCTGTGTGTTTCTGAGGAGTGCTAAGCAACGGTGAGTTTTTCCTTTACCCTCCAGGGCCACCCCTTCTGTAGACAGTTTAAGACACAAACTTCTTGCCAGTGGGAGGTTTGAACCTGGAACACCAGGGTCCAAAGCCAGCTCCTAACTATATCTCACACACCCCTCCCTCAGATATGCCAGTCTCTACTTCTGCTGTGCCATCGAAGGTCAAGACAACGAACTGATCACCCTGGAGCTGATCCACCGATATGTCGAGCTCTTGGACAAGTACTTCGGCAGCGTACGTCTCCCCACCCACCTCTGTTTCTGTACCAAGCAATCTCTTCCTGCTAAACCGTAAAAAGGCTCTTCTAAACCAGGCATGGTGGCGCACACCTTTAATCCAGCACTCAGGAGGCAGAGGCAGGTGGACCTCTGTGAGACTGAGGCCAGCCTGGTCTACATAATGAGTTCCAGGCCAACTGGGGCTACAGGAAACCCTGTCTCAAAAGAGAAAGGCTCATCTTGTCTCTGTCCTGGAAGTCTCAGGGGAGAGGTGAAGTTGGAGCAGCGAGAACTGTAATTAATCTCCCTTTTTAAGCTCTAATCCTATTAAACCTAGCCCTTAATCAGCTCTGGAGTAGGATTGGGATGGGGGAAGCAGGAGAGGGTGGCTCTGGCTTTGAGTCCCTACCTAGAGCTGGATCCAGACTTCTCTTATAAAGGCAGAAACAAAGTTGGTTTTGTCAGAGTTCTTGATCTCGCTATTGTGTTGGAATGTTCTGCAAACTTTTTTATGTGTATGTACTCCTGCACATGTGTGCATATGAAGGCCAGAGAACAACCTTATGTGTTATTCCTTGGGTACAATCCACCTTGTTTCCTTTTCTAAGATTTTTTTTAGTTATATGTATTTGTTGTGTCTGTGTGTGGGTATGTACCAGGGAATGCAGGTACCTGAGGGGGCCAGAAGAAGGTGTTGGATCCCCTGAAGCTGGGGTTATAGGATAGCGGTGAGCCACCTCAAGTGTGTGCTAGGAATGGAACTCAGGTCCTCTGTGACAGCAGTATGTGATCTTTTTTTAAAATATTTTTATTTTACGTGTATGGGTGTATTGCCTGTATGTAAGCGCACCCCCGTTGTGCAGTGCCCACAGAGGTCAGAAGAGGATGGTGAATCCCCAGAAATTGGAGTAACAGACAGTTGTTAGCTGCAGTGTGGGTGCTGAGACTCGAACCTTGGTCCTCTGCAAGAGCAGTCAGCCATCCCTACAGTCCTTGTATGTGATCTTTCTAAAAAATGTTTTTTAAATTAAAAAAAATTATTTTATGTATGAGTGTTTTGCCTGCATATGTATGTAAGTGTACTATGTGTGTGCAATGCCTGTGCAAACCAGGAGAGGGTGTCAGATTCCCTGGAACCAGAGTTACAGAAGGTACCTAGCCACCATGTGGGTGCTGGGAACTGAACCTGGGTCACAAGAGCAGACGGTGCTCTTAACCACTGAACCATCTCTCCAGCTCTCAGCTTCTGTTTTGTTTTGGAGATTTTGGGGGGTCGGGGCAGATGGGCAGGTAGGCCCAGGATTCATCTGTCTCCGCCTCGCCAGTGCTAGGATTACAAATAAACACCATCACACCTGGCTTTTTTTTACATGGGTTCTGGGGGTTCTACTCAGGTCTTCATGTTTGCAAGGCAAACACTTTACTAACTGTACTATCTACCTACCTTTGAAGAATTTTTTAAAATATTGATACCCAGAGTTCTACCACATTCCCCAGAAACTGTGAATTAACTTTCCTGGTATGTAGCCTGGGCCCTGGCAAATATCTCAGGTCTTAGATACAGAATAGAAATGACTACTTAATTTGTAACCTCATTAGCACTTTATGAAGCCCTATTGAGTATTTTTTTAAAGATTTATTTTTATGTTTAATATTTGTCTTCATGTATGCATGTGCACTCTGTGTGTGTGTGTGTGTGTGTGTGTGTGTGTGTGTGTGTGTATACACCTGGTGCCTATGGAGACCAGAAGAGGGCATTTTAGCTGCCGTGTGGGTGCTGAGAACTGAACCTGGGTCCTCTGCAAGAGCAGCCAGTGCTCTTAGCCACTGAGCCATCTCTCCAGTCCTTGAGTTCTATCTTAATTATTCATTCATTCATTCATTCATTCATTCATTTTTGCAGTACCAAGGACTGAATCCAGGGCCTATTGATGCTAAGGGCTGTGTGCTGTACCACTGTTTGATAACACTAGTCCTTTTGTTCTGTTTGGGGGTTTTTGTTTGTTTTTTTAATTATGGGATGTGTCAAGCATGCACATGTGGAGGCCAGAGAACAACTTGTAAGAGTCTGTTTTCTCCTTCTACCATGTGGGTCCCAGGGATCAAACCTAGGTTGTTAGGCTTGGCAGAAAGTGCTTTTACCCACTGAGCCATCTCACCACTTCTAGCCATTTTTGGTTTTTTTGAAACAGGGTCTCATGTATCCCAGGTTGGCCTCCAACTCATCTTGAACTTCTGATCCTCCTGCCTCCACCTCATCTTGAACTTCTGATCCTTCTGCCTCCACCTCCTAAATGCTGGGATCATAAGCATGCGCCTCCACCCCTAGTCATGTCAGCTTTAATGCTGGGGAACAAACCCAGGACTTTGTACATTCTAGGCAAGCACTCTGCCAACTGAGCTACATCTCCAACCTGAGTTTTTTGATTGATTGATTTTTGTGGTACCAGGGATTGAACCTAGGGCCTCACACATGCAAAGCACCCTGTGTTCTGCCTCTGAGCTCCATCCCTAGCCCCTTTTTTTCCTTTTAATTTTGAGGCAGGATCTCACTAGCTTACACAGGGAGGCCATCCTGCCTCAGCTTTCTGAGTAGCTGAGATGAGGGGCCTATGTCACTCCACCAAGCCTCTTTGGGGTTCTCTTCTTTGCCTTTCCTATGTCAAGGTTGCTATTTCCATTTTCAGATGGAGAAACAGGCTCAGAGGCATTCCATGATGTGTTTTGTTTTGTTTTGTTTTGAGATAAGGTTTCCCTGTAGCCCTAGCTGACTTGGAACTTGATACGTAGACCAGGTTGGCCTTGATCTCACAGAAATCTGCTTGCCTCTGCCTCTTGAGTGCTGGGAGTAAAGGGGTTGTACTACCACACCCAGCTGTTGCATGATGTGTACAGCTAAACTGGGTATTGACAGAAGTCAGCTTGGAACTAAAGTCTTCTAAATCAAAAAGACTAGTCTATCCTCCTGCTCTGCCCCAGAGTGGTGAGGGCGGAAGGCTGGCCCAGGGTCTGGCAGGAACAGTGTTGGGGATTTTAGAATGGAGACCACAGCAACCAGAGCCTAATATTTCATAATTGGAGGCTGAGGCAAAAGGAAGATGGTGAGGCCTGGTGGTGCCTGTAATCCCAGGCTGAGGCAGGAAGATCCCAGCCTGGGGAAAAAAAGCCAAGCCAAGTACTGACGCCTGAGAATTGGGAGGATCTAAGACCCAGAACAGGAATCCAGTGTGGGCATGAGGATGTGGCTCAGTTGGTGGAGCTCTTGCTTAGCCCTGAGTTCAATTCCCAGAACCCCATAAAACAGGGTGTTAAACTTGCCTGTAATCCCAGGCTGAGGCAGGAAGATCCCAGCCTGGGGAAAAAAAGCCAAGCCAAGTACTGACGCCTGAGAATTGGGAGGATCTAAGACCCAGAACAGGAATCCAGTGTGGGCATGAGGATGTGGCTCAGTTGGTGGAGCTCTTGCTTAGCCCTGAGTTCAATTCCCAGAACCCCATAAAACAGGGTGTTAAACTGGACGTGGTGGCTCATGCCTGTAGTCCCAGCACTAGGGAGGCAGAGGCAGGCGGATCTCTGTGAGTTCA